ATCCCCAAACCGCCCCAAAACTGGTGCTCTGGGGCCCCGGGGTTGCCAAAACTTGGGTCCAAAGTGACGGTCATGCTCCAAGAATGGCGGTTTTGCGTGGCTTCCCGCCCCAAAAGGATGCCCTCAAGATGTATCACTTCAAGATGTATGTCAGGGTGTGCCCTGCTGGTGGTGGGAAATCGTGGGTTTGCCCTGCTGATTGTGGGAAAAAGGTCTCCCCAGCTTTGTGCCTGGTATTTGGTGAGCCCTGAGGACTGTGTCACGTCAAGGCTGCTGTCATGCCAGCAATAGAATTGCAGCCACACTTTGAAGTTGATGCTGTGCCCTTGCCTTCATCGAGGCGTTCAGTTTGATTGTGGATCGAGTGTCCCTCATGTAACCTACCTATTTATGCGCAGGGTTTTTGATTGGGGAACTTCGTTTACGTGGGAATTCCATTCCGAATCCTTGCCATAGGTCGGTCGCATACTTCCAGATCCCACCAATGGTATGCGGTTTCTCAGCTCATAGGGATTCATCAATCTCAACTAGTGCAGGAGTTTGTCTATCCACAGGTCGCTGCGATTGGGGGACCCGCAAAATTGTGGTTTGCCTCTTGGCTTCCTTGTGAAACCACCAAAAACTGGGGTGCCCTCAGAAAAAGACATACTCAAAAAACCTTTCTGGTTGGTAGAACCCAAAGTCAACGGCTGACGCTTTGGTCGCTGCGAACCGCACACCCACACCAGCCTTGCCGTAGGTCCCTTCGCCAATTCTGTGCCGGATATCGAACCGGTGGCCCACCTCAGCGCTTCGGGTTGAAAGGATAGTCTTGGCCTAATTCACTGCACTGTCTCTATGTGTATATACCCTCCCACCAACAAACATGGAAGTGCACAAAGGGCCCTTTCCAAGAGGAAAGGAAAAGTCTTTCTACAGGGTCTGGCCCGAAAAGTCTTTCCGGCAGCCTTCCCGGGGCTTCCACAACAGCGGCACGGCTCGGCGACACGGCGCGCCTCGGCAATGGTCTCCTCTTCGTCCTGCATTTAGCACCTGTGTCCAATTCGCACCTCCAATCTCACTCGCGGTACAAACTCTGCCCACCTTTTCTTTGGGTCCACAAAAGACAGGTCTGGCTCTTTTCCCACCTGTTGCAACCAACCGGAGTTCACACCAAACATTTCACTCAGGCACAGCCTTCACCAGGTTTCTCGGCATCGGATTTCTATCAGATCTCGAACTTGGCATGGCCACTTGGGGAGCCATGAGAGCGGAGGCTGCATACCCCGAGGTCAAACTATACATCTCCAAAAGCCAGGGGAGCTCGAATTGTCCCATTCGAGCTCTACGGGAACTGCATAGTTTGACCGGATTCCTGTGCTTGCCTGAAAACATTGCCAACTAGACTCGCCTATGGGACAAAACTGGTCATGTTCAAAAACCCAATCCACAAATAGAGTTTTGTGGGTACCCTTCTTAATCTTAGTATCTTGACCGTGTGAATTCTTCAGAAGTAGATCATGAGATAGGAAAATGAACGGACTGGAAAAGGAAAGAGGGAAGACTCGTCCATTATCTATCTCTTTCCCTTTCATCCTCTCTCTCCTTCCATCTTCTCCCAACATTTGAAATCTTCGCTGTTGGCGACGGGAAGGAGAGTTGATCTTCAGAAGCGATCCTTGAGCTTGCTGATTGGGGTGGTTTTGAAGGGAAGCCAAAAGGAAAACCACCTTGTTGCTCAGACCCATTCACACTCTGCAAGACAAATCAGGTTACTTCATCTTCAAAAACCCAGGCAGTCTCGTTTTTTGCTTGGGAACTTCCCCCGAGGACCAGTTTTCCGCCGGCGGCGGAACGTCGAGTTCCGGAGACACGAGGGCCCGGCGGATACGCCCGGCGTCAGGCCTGGAATCGGGGAACTCCGGGAGCTGGGGGTCAAAGATAAAACCAAAAACACCGGCCATATGGCCGTGGGTAACCTATGCCGATCCCATTTTGGGGCATAAAGATGAACACCCATGTACCACCTATTTTGATGTTCACCAGGGGTACAGGGTTTTGACCCACAGCCATATCTGCAAGCACTCAATGTGGCCCAAAAAGGGGGTCCGATCTCTGAAAACGCTCATTGCAGAGCAACCAAATCGGCTTGTTCGGCCAAGAAAAAGGCGTCAACTTTTTGATGGTGTCCCCCTTCTGGGGTTGATTTTGTGGAGGAACACTGCATCGAGCACACCCATTCATGAGTTCTAATTGACGCGAAATAGTGGACATCATAATCCTAGCAAAAGCTACTATGACTCCGAAAGCCGAACTTTCGGAATTGGATCCCCAAGTAAAAAACCTTCATCATGAGCTCGTCATACCCCAGCTCATCGGTGAGCTCGCCATAGCAGCTCACTTAGGTCCACCACGAAGTGAAGAAGTCGAGACCCCGGCGTGCCGGGTATCCATCGCGCCGGCTCCGCCCCAAGGGCATACTCGAGCAACGGACGCGGACGCGGACGCGTTTTTGGTGTCCTGTCCTTTGTTGAAAGAATCCCGGGTGGTACCCCCATTAGCCCCAGGACCTCCTCGTTTGAACCAAGACTTTCGTGAACCCTCATTGCAAGCTGCAACCCAAACCAGCCCTCATTTTCCGATTTCTGGGCATCGATCCCATGGCTTTCGGCTCTTGTTTCTCCCCCCTTTATAAAAAAAAAAAAAAAAAAAAAAAAAAAAAAAAAAAAAACTTGTCAAATGCAAGAGTTGTATGCCCCAAAAAAACATGATGCATCTTTGTCAAATGCAGCATTATTCTATCTTCAACCATTAACCAGATAATTGTCACAGCCATTTGGAGACAAAGCTGTGCGTGTTTGAATCAATTAGCAAAACTCACCCCCTGGGGAGGACCTTACCTTGCCCGCAGAAGACCCATCGCAAGCGCGGCTCCTCTGTTCTGCTGCAAGAATAGTCCAAACTTCCTAGATCAATCGGACTCCCAGACACATTGTTGCTGATGATCTATCGTTTGCTCTGTATACCATTAAAAGGTTCCAGTCATACATCATACATCCGGCCAACATAGATTATTTGATGTACTTGCAGCGTCCACTAGCACAATCGGTACTGTCTCGCAGCTACTCTCAAAATGTGCTCTATCCTCGATGAACATCCCCCCCTTCTCGCCCTTTCAGACCGGAAGTTCTGGCACTCCCGTGTGCACATGTGGCAAAATAAGGGGACTCAAAACAGTCGCTGTCCTTGCATTGCCCTTGAGCAATTGCAAAAGAATACCCGTCGCCTACAGCCACACTCACCTTCCCATCACCAAAAAGCTCTTGAGAGAGCTTGAATGATCCGCACCTGGACAACTCGTTTCCGTGAAAAATCTGCAAGTACAAGAAACCCTCCCCACCAACAAAAAAAGGCAGTGACTTCCTAAGAGCCGCGTCGTCTTCCAAAAGGCTCGACGTGAATCAGCTTCCCTCCAATTGGCAGTTTGGAGGCCCGGCGGTTTCGCATTTACCCTCTGCAAAAGCCAGGGGGTCAATTCCCAAACCACCAATCCGAACCACCAATTGGGGGCAACCTCACATCAAGCTGCACGTGTACATGCATGAATTCGTCGCCGTTGCTTTGCGCGTGTCCAAGGGCTGCAACATCTACTGCTGCGGTGAAACTGATCTAGCAAAGCGAGTCCTATCGAGAATGTGTGTGCTCAACCTCGGAGGCAAGCCTTGGTTCATGTAGGCGGGAGCCAAGGCTTAGCTTCCACTGCCGCCCCTCTCTGAAAGAGCCTTACAAGATCTACAGTGCCAAAGTAAGCACAGCAGCTACGCATGCGGGGCTATTCGGACTCACACCCACCCGTCAACGCAAAATAATACTGGAGAACGGGTAGCCCGGAAGCATAGAGAACTGGATTAATGGAGTCAGTTCATGTTGGATTGCTGGAGCGTCATTTTGTTCAAGGGCAAACCGAAAAGGAGCACGACCCATTTTTGGGGGGGGGTCCCCTAAAAAGGCACAGCCATTCGACAAGTACATGCCGCCGGTCTGACATTTGGGACCCGGCCGAGGGCACGTCTAGCCTGCGGTAGAAATAGGCAAAGCCTTCCCTCGGCAGATTTGAACCGAGCCACTAGGGTGCCGCATCTTACTTGTCCACATGGGCCTGCTTGGGGGTGGCTTTCTCCGGCAACCAGAAGGAAGACCAAAATCCATGTTTGAAGGGGTCCAACCTCAAAAAGCACAAACACCCAAATCACTCCTCACCTTTGGTCAGCTTCCCACTCATTGGTGATTTGGACTGGCGGTTTGGGGATTTGTCTTGTAGAGGGTTCATGGACACACCCTCCCTAACCAAGCCACCCATCCAAACAATGAGTGGCAAGCTGATGTGGTGCACATCCCGGATCGCCAGTTACTGTTTTTTGTCCATCCACTTTACCCCAAAAACCAGCAACAGTGACTGAAAAAAAGCAGCAACTTGGCTATCTAGGATGTTTTTCTGCAAAAAAAAGCAGCTGGAATTGGACTTGCGTTGACCTCGGGCGCTTCGATCGGCGGATCGGCGGATCGTCAGCTACAAGGCGCCCATGGACTCCAGCAAAAAAAACGCCCTCATTTGTCATGCTTCTTGGTTGCTGCAACGTCCCCTCCGCAAAAAGCTTAGAACTTGTTGTGGGTTCAACTTGTTGTGGGTTCAATTCGCAAAACCCAACTTGGTTTCAACCAAAAGAAAGTTGAAGTCTGAAGATCCAACCCTACAGCAATCCAAGCTTTCTCTCTCACATGGAAATACCCTCCCACCAATCACAAAAAAGGAAGATGGTCCAAACCGGGGCCGATTCCCCGAACGGCAGCTTCCGGCTCTCAGTTCAGCCCCGAAAACCCCTGCCTGGCGGCCCACCGCTGCCTCCCGGAGAACCCACGTGGATATGAATCGAACATGCCCTCGCAGTCATCCGAACCCGGAACAACCGGGAATGGTTCCCCTAGCGAGATGAATTATGATATTTTGCTTCAGAGAGGAGAAGGGACCAGAAAAAGCATGGAACAAATACAGTGTCGAGGAATCCGCAGGAATCCATATGACTGTGGCTCAAAATTAAACAGGAGGGGTTACGCGGGTGTTGGTCCATGTTTCCACTTACCAAGGTTCAATTTTGGTACCGGTTTCTTGAGCCACTGCCATATCTAAATCGGATTCTAAGAATTCTTCGCAACCTGCAGGGCTCCCTATATTTCCCCTTAAAACGTCACCTCAAGGGACCCTCACCATAGGGGTAAAGAGTAAAGAAACCCAGAACAGAACTGTTCAAGGAATCCATCATGAGCCATTGATGGGCATGGGAAGGAGTGAATAGATAGAGAGAATGTAGAGACATCAATTTAACAGACAAGAACGTGAGCGTTGGCAGCGTGCGCCGGTTTCAGTGTTCCAACATCACCCCGCCCCTGCCTTCAAACATAGGGTACAAAATGCCCGCATAAACGCATTGCATCCGCTTCTCAAAGCGCGCGTCCAGCACGTCTTTGATCTCCTGGCTTCGCACAGCCTCGAATGGCGACAAGGATTCCTTGGCAGGCACCACAGGCTCGGAATGAACGATCCCCATGTGGTCTGTGCGCCACTTGGCTGGCATATGACGCCAAAGGTTGTTCATCACTGCAAGCTGCGCTGGCGTCCGCTGCAGGAAATTTGGCCCAATCCAATCGGTGATGACGAACACACCTGAGGGCTTCAAGGCCTTGGAGATCTCTTCAGCAACGTGTTCGATGCGCTCGAAGTGATGATATGCGTGTTGAATGTAAATCACATCAAACGCCCCTTCCTCCAAATGGATCTCATTCACATCCATGACATGGTAGGTTACAGGAATCTCTGGGTTTGGCTGAAACTCCAAAAACTTTTGATACATCCCCTCTGCAGTGTCGTATGCCTCGATACTGTCCACCCCGAATGATTTCAGCATTGGGTACTCGCCCGCCATGGGCCCGCATCCCAGCGTCAATCCACGCCTCTTTCCAGACTTTTCCCCAAGCAATGAACGTGCCAGGGTTCCCACATCTGCAACTTTATGGAGCTCATGCTGAAAATGTTGGATGCTTGTCCAGGAAATTCGCCATTGCAAGCGATCATCATGCTTTCCCCAGAACGCAGCCTCCTCTTGCGCTTTGTGCTCGGAAGCCACGCTTTGGCTTAACGAAGATGTCTCTTGTCTAGTGGGCTGAAAGGACTGCCTGGGCCTGGGAACGTCACAAAGATAGAACGTCACAAAGCCAGCAACTGCCAGGATGCCAACTGATCCCATTGCGGCGAGCTTCCCTGTGGCAAACACACGGGCCATCCCAACTACACGCAAGCCAAGCGTCAAAGCGCTTTCAAGGAGGTTGCAAGCCGTTAGCTCCTACAGGTTTCACAGCTAAGCGCAACTTTGCTGTAAGTTGGAGGGCGTCAACTTGAATGCGTCTTTGATCGCCGAACACATGCCCTTGCTTGAGGCGCGGTTCTATCTGTTGTCGGCTGAGAACCAACGGCTCAGCAGCGAAGTGTGCGAATGGGAGACAGACCCCAAAAACTGTGTACGCCAAGCATGGGGACGGAATCCCCCCTGTGTTTCCATGCGGATGATCTTTTTCAACCCGCCTTTTCTTTTTTAACTCACTGACTGAGCCGACTCACAGGAGCCGACTCGCAGCAGCTCCAACTGACTCTCGATGTGACGATTCGGAGCCATGCGGACCCTTCGTGGCAGTAGCCCCCCCGTGCCCCCTTCGTGGCTACTGACAAACTCCGCGAAAAAAAAGCCAGGCGCCAGTTGGCTGAGTGCTGGCAAAACAAACCAGGATTCACGCAATTTATGATAGTGCGGGGCTAAAACCTGTGGTCGCCTGGTGGTTTAACTTTGACCCATGCCCGTATATGGCGTTTCATCCCTCCCTGGTATCACAGTGCACCAGACATTCAGCTTGGCTCACTCCGGGCCTTGCAGCATGGAGGAGCAGGTGACGAAGGACTTGTCCTGGTTGAATCTGCGTCCCTCTTGGATTGCGGGATCCGGGATCCACATGGGTCTGTTGTTTTTTGGGGAGTACCGCTGGATTGGTGGTTTCAAAGGGAAACCAAAACGAACACGAATGCCATTTTGGAGGGTCCGATTTAAAAAGACGCACCCACATGAGTGGCTTCCCTTCTCAAAAAGAATAGGCCCTCAACAAGCCCTCAACGCGGGGGGCGGGGGGGGGGGGTGAGCACAGGGGGGCGGGGGGGGGGGGGGGTGAGCACAGGGGGGGGGGGGCTGTGTTTTCTTGAGGGTGCTCTTTTCAGGTTGGTTCAAAGAGAAAACAAAAGGACAAACTTTGACACATACCCATTTTGCAAGTGAACCCAACCGCATTCAGCCACAAAACAATGGAAAGTTGAGCAAGTTGCGAAGTTGCTGTGGTTCCTGCGAATGCTTAGGGCATCTTTACGAACCCTTGGAACTCCTCACAACCCAACCCAACAACCGCTCCACCGGAACCGGGTCGCTTTGTAGCACCCTCCGGAATTCCGGAAGCCATGCAGCCGCTGAACCCTCCCGGAACCTGACGGATTGCCCGCCCAGCCGTTCCATGGAACCCCTTATAGCTCCGGAGCACTCCGCTGGGAAGACCCAGCCCTCAAATGTGCCTTCTTCTCATGTAGGCCATGACAGAAGCGCCAAACAATCCGCCCGTGCGAGCAGTTGATGTCAGTTGCTTCGCAAGTGCCAAATGCGGGCTCCAGAAGATAGCCATTGCGGCTTCCAAAGCAAGAGCAAAATGAACATGTGCTACCCTCCCACCAGCTAACATGGAAGTGCACAGACCCCTGTAGAAAGACTACTTTGCTCTTGGAAAGGGCCTTTTTGCACTTCCATGTTAGTTGGTAGGAGGCTACAATTGAAGAACTTCTCGTGGCCAACGCCGAATCCACGCTGGGGCCCACGCGAAGTTGAGCTCCACGGCGCTCGCGCCCAGCCTATGAAACGTTGAGCGAAGGGTTTGGCGGGGGCGAAAGTGATCCGAGATGCTTCGTCTTTCTTGGAGGGTACCGAATTTCTTTGGGGGGCTGCTTTAAGGGGAAATCCAAGGGAAACCACCTGGGGTTATATTTGAAGAAGACAAGCCCTGAAACACCCCCTTTTACAGGCAAGCCAAAAGAAGATGCTTCAATAGCGCTTGGGAGATGCAGGTAACAAACGCTCCAAACACTGGCTAACAAGCGAAAAGGGGCACAAGCGGAAAACACAGGGCAAGTAACAAATCACCTGCTGCCAATATAATCTTGACCTCGGATCAATCAACCCCAGTTTATTATTGGGGGTGTCCCTGGGTTGAGTGGGGAATCAGACCTGTTGGAGGGGGTGCTCCTATTGATCTACTTACCTTCCCACAAATTCACATGGAACCTGACATGCGGAGGGTCCTGGTTTGGACCATTCTCCCGTTCAAACGTCAGGTCCCATGTCAATTGGTGGGAGGGTAGATCCGGGGTCAATACGATCCCCAAATTGGGGGGCAACTTGGTCTCCCCCAGTTTTGAGGCAAACCCAAATGGGCTTGTTTCAGGAGGAACCACTCACTCCAAACAAACAAAGTCATTGGTGAACGCAACTTGGCATGCCCGAAAGTCGGAGCCAGAAAGTCGGATTTTGATATTTTTCCCCAATAAGGTTGATGACTTGGAAGCCATTGAGCTGATGTTATATGGCTGTGGCTCCAAAAACCGGTATCAAAATGGAACTCTGGTAAGTGGAAACATGGACCAACGCCTGCCTAACCCCTCCTGTGTAATTTTGAGCCACACCCATATAGGTCCTCATCAGCTAAGCCGCAATCAAAGCCCCCTATTAAAATGGTGAACCCACAACCATGTAAAGCATGAAGAAGGCAGATATACGTGGCTCAGCTGGCTTCGACTTTCCACGGGTCCAATGGCTGGCCCGTTTGAGTCAACGCTCGCAGTCCCCAACCCTCCGCTCACGCTCGGGCGCTGGCGGATCCGGGGGAAGAGGAGGCCTCGTCAAATAAAAGACGCCAACAAAAATTGCCCTTGCTCCCCGATTTAAAAAAAGAAATGGCAAGGGCCCAATTTAGATGATGGGGTGGTTGTATGAACCCCGTTTACTTTCATGGTGGCTTGATCCGCAGAGGCGTTGATTCAATGGTGGTTATATGAACCCAACCTTTGTTTTAATGGTGGCAACTGAAATGCAGGGATGCTATCCCTTTCCCCAACTTCACCGCTAAGGAGCGCGTCCGCCGCCGCTCCGTGCAGTTCACTGGGCGCCACACCCCGGACCCGGCGAGCCCACTGCGCCCGCCTCACGATGCACCAGCGAAAACCGAAGCGCTTGTCCGGCTCCGAACCCCGGGGAAATCGCAGGCAAATGAGCCATTGGGGTGCCAATCAAAATCGCCAAAGTCACAATCCGGCGCAAAGCAGGTTTAGGTCTGCTCGAAGCTTGCGGAAAATGGCTGCCGGGAACCGTCCCCTTCAAGGAACTTCAACCCAGCTTTGGATCTTGGCCAAGCCCTGAGAGTTTGGATTCTCATGGAGACATCCCCAACTCAAGCCCTTGACAGTTTCGCTGGGAACTCTTTGAGCGTCTGCCTCTGCCAGGGCGAGTGAAAGGCAAAAGCACATCGGTTCAACGCTCATTTTAGAGCCGGCACGCTGCTGCAGCAACGCCGGCCCTCCGGAATTGTGTTTTGGGAAGATTGGGTTGCCGATGTGACAAATGCTCATTTGGGTGTTTCTTAGAATACTGGTTCCCAAACACCGTTGGTTTTCTTTTACACAACAAGGGCACCACCATATTTAGACATATTATATTGCACGTTTGTATACGTGTATATATATATATATTATGTTATATATGTTTTGTTGCGTTTGTGTATATATATATATATATGCCCCCCCTGGTGCCTAGGTTTTGCTTGATTTCAGCGCGCAGGCTGTAGAGTTTAGTTTTTTTGCAATAGATGTTTAAGCACAAACGAATGGGCTTGCAGTCCATCAAGGCAAGATCCGAAATGTCCAAATATGATACCCTTTCCAAATTGGATTTTACTTCAGCTAGAATTGGAATTGTGAATACAATTTGGTTAGGATATAGTTTTCGAAAATGTGTTTTATGCTCAACATTGCTCAACTACAGCTTATATAAGCAAATCCTTTCCAAATAGGAGCTACATGAGAATATAAGTACAGTTTCGGGCAAACTCAACAAAAGAAGTTAGTAGTTTATTCCCAAATATAATCTAAGTGTTAGACATAATCTAATACGAACACAACTCAATTAGCTTTTCAGAATAACAATTCAATAGAGACAACTTCTCAAATTTAGTTCGTATTAAGTATGGCTAAACATGTAAGGGACTTCTACAAGGAAATTTGAAATACGATCTGTGTTATGTATATCCCGGCCCTTTTTGCAGCATAAGATAGGTCCGAAATTCAACTTGTTAGACGGTGTTCCAAAAGGAAATTTCAAGGGAAGAGAGGTTCAAATTCTAAATCTATTTCGAAACAGGGATTCTAGCTGAATCAGTTGTATTTAAAGTTCTATTTGCACAGGAAAACAAAATTAATTCTATCTCAAAAGGCGGAGGTAGTAGATGAGCAAATGTGGAGAGGTAGTTCAAGAGGGAGGGGAAATGACGGTGTGTGAACATACATACATGTATTTGTATATATACATTCATACATACACACATATATACCCCTAATGATCCTGTGCCTCTTATTACAAAAAGAAACTATAAAATACAGTGTTTACCTGGAAAAGGGTCAACATACTTCATAGCTAACATGAAGCAAACCGCTCACCAAAAGCACTTGAAAGTTTGTCTAACTAATAAATTGAAAGTGTGTCCACTGGATCACTAAGCACTTGAAAGTATTTTACCACTGGATGGAAAAAACCAAGATTGAAGATTACACAGAACAGTTTCCTGAGAATTGTCAATCCTGGCCAAACCCAAACAACATTCAAGTTCTTCTCACACTTGAAAGTGCTTTACCACTGGATTGAGGATTCAATAGTGATGAGTGCACAAACAACAACTTTCCTGAGAATCATCCATCCTGGTCAATCCCCAAAATGTTCAAGTTGTTCTAACACCTTGAACGTATGTTACCACTGGATTGAAGATTCGAGATTGAAAAAATTCACGGAAAGCGTTTCCCGAGAATCATATTGAACACCGAGAGTATTGGGACAAACCTGGAAAAAAATACGCAGATTAAAGATTCAAGATTCAAGTATTTCAAAATAGTCTTTTTCTGGGAATCTTGAATCTTGAATCCCAGAACTTATATATATATATATACATTTATTTATTTATTTATTTAATTATTTTTTTAATATGGGACGCAAGATTCAACATTCCAAAATTCCAGAAAAGATTGTTTTGAAGTCTTGAATCTTGAATTCCAGGTTGTCACATTGAACGTCTCCCAGCAATCTTGGGTCCAGAATTCTTAATTGTAGCATTGTGGCACACCCCCCTTCCTTGGTGCCCAAGTTTGGCCAAAAAATGCAAAAGTACCTGATAAAATGACTGAAACCAGGCAAAACCTAGGCACCGGGGGGGCGTACTATATATATATATATATATATGCATGTGTATGTTATATTATTAGAGTTAGCATTGGGGTCGTATTAGGACTAGCATTGGTATGCGTATGTGTATTCGTATTCACACTAGCATTAGCATTCGTAGTACTATTGTTATTGTTTTGTTATTGTGATTATTCTTGTCAGTATGTTCATTGCTTATTTGTTTCCTTATTGTCATTACTATCATTACAATCAGTAGTACTAGTATTCCATTGTGGATGATTACCACTATCATCAGCATTATTACTATCATGTTCATTACATTATCATCTTTATCATTATGTGTGCTGTTCTTTATCATTAAGCTTATCATTGCCACTATCATTGTTGTTCTATCATTAGCATTATCATTTGTATTATGACTGTTATCATTACATATATATATATATACATATTGCGGCCTCCCATCCAATCCGACGCCAGCTGCAAGCCGAATAGTTCAGACTGCCAGCCAAACAAATGTTCTGAGAGATTATCCTTAAGAAAGATCATGCGCCGACCAGGCATCTGTGAATGTCAGTGAGAAGTGAGGTAGGTTCTGAAATGCATATGACTGCTTGAGCATCAAAACACAAAATATCATAATGCTTGCAATCGTCAACCATCTCGATGTGGCTGCTTCTCCCATACCACTTCCGCCACAAGTTGGCAACCTTTTAGCTTCATCTTCTCCATGATGTTGGTGAGGGCGTGACGAACATCCACAATCTTCCTTGAAGCCCCAATGCGTATGCTGTCGCAAGTGACAGTCTTGGCTTCAGCAGCGCCGTCACGACTTGAAGCTTTGCCATGTTTAAAGAAATGAATTCCACACGGGCTGTAGATGGCCAACCAAAGCTCGTCAAAGGCGTCTTGCTCGCGCACGCCTTTTATGGCAAATTTGATCCTCGAAAACTGACAACGCCACTGCTGATCTGACTTCGAAAATAACAGCTTGCCATGCTTGACCTCAACCCGCTGATTGTCGCGAATCCAGTCCACCCGCGATGGCAAGAGTCTTGCAGGAATGTCTTTTTCGGCCACACGGTGTGCTAGAAGGAAGTCGCCGCCGGGATGCAGCATCTGATCAATTTCGCATGCTATTTCTTGGATGCGTAAGCCTCGCATGGAAGAGCTCAAGGTACTCAAAGGTACCCCGAGAAAAGCGGAGTCGTCCTGGGAATTTGAGACCTCGCCCATGAGCTCAAAAATGAAGCTTTCATATCTTGGATCTGACATGTTGATGTGAGACACCAGGGCACAACAAGAGTTGCCGCCGAGCAGTTTTGCCAGAATGCTAGATCGCGCTGATTGCCAACAGGTGTCTCCCTTAGGCCCGTTTACAACAACTTGGTGTCCCCCAAAGCCTGTCCTCAAGCCGCTAGTGGACACACACGTTCGCAGGTCATGTTTGATAATGTGCACACCATCAGGGCTGAACATTGTGAGGTACAAAGAATCAAACGGAGCATGAGTGCGAAAGCCCGGCCAGGCCAGCTTGATATCGTGGAAAGCTACACGCCAGCACCCGTGTGCAACGTTCCACGCAAGCTGCGCACTCTTGCATTCTACCTTCTGTCCGTCAAGTGTAAAATCTCGTTGCGCTTGCAGTGCTGACCTGCGCCTGCCATCCACACATACCGATGAGGGAGAAGCCTCCTCAATTTTGCTAGTTGGATATGTTTCCGCCAGCGCACGCTTGCAAACTTCCTGCAGCACTTGCCCCCGTCGTCTCTCGGAGAGCAGTGCCAGCACGCTCCCCGCGTAATGCTTGCTGGTTTCGGAGACAGATTCGATGATATGCCGAAACTGAGCGGCGTCAAGGACAAGTTTTCGCCGCTGGCCAAAAGTGCGGCAGAGATGAAGAGCCGCACAGCTCGGCCGGAAAGGCCCCCATGAGGATAGAAATCCTTTGGCCAGGGATGCGGAGCTTGACAGTTTGTGCATGCTTGAGCTTCAAGTCAGCCTACATGCTTGAGTTTCCCTCAATTTTGGGGACCATTCCAACTTGAGACGCACCAGTTCTTTGCAAAGAAGGCTATTGCTTTTTCATGTGTTTCAACCAGCGTAAAACGTAATCAAAGTCCCTGTCTGTTCTGATCGTGTTCATTATTAGCATTTTGCCCTTCTTCTCAAAACCCAGCCGTGTCCTTGGGGTTAGGGCGGTTTTCTGAGATCCCCGGATTAGATATCAAAGGTTAGCTCAGCTTGTGTCCCCTCGACGCGACATGGTCGTTCAGCGTGTTAAGAAATCTGATTGAAGAAACGAGACTTGCATGGCCCGGCGAGCAAAGTCCAATGATTCACAGCCAATGTCGCGACTGAACTGAGGCACCCAGGCAAAGCTGAGTTCCACGGCACTCATTCCCAGCCTCAATTGGTTGGCCAATCCCATTCGTTTGAGGTTCAGAACGGGAGGCTATCGGACCTTCTCAGGCCCCTTTTGCCAGAGGCCCCTTCTACCTCAAACCAAAAAAATATGGCTCTGTACCATATGTTGTGAACTTTAAGATGCAGAAGAATGTGAGCACTACTGAAAAACCATCAACTATTCTTTTCCAGCGAAGACTGCCAAGTTTGAAACCCGGTAGTTCGTGGCAAGAGGCATTCAATAAATGAGGGATGGGGCTCTTATGAGGTAAGACGCTACACAAAGGTGTACCAACTGGATAGCAAGGTCCATACAGACCTGACTATAACCCCCATGAAACCAAGCAGAGACGCTGAATGGCTGGTAAATGGAAACCTCCATCTTGCGATCCGTTGGTAAAAATGATCATCCACTGCTCGCAAAAGCGCGCTCCGTCGCTTTTTACCCAGCCAGCTAAATGGCCCATGGACATCGGTTTTTGCACCCTGACTCTCGGGCACGGGCGGATCCCGGGGTAGCGGGGGCCTCAGCCGAGTCAGTCTTCTGCTGGCTGTTCCCAAACCCATAGATGGGCTTTTGGGGGGAGGGTTAAGGGGAACCAACAAGAAAGCCCGCCTTCTTTTTGTTTGGGGGGGAGTCTTGTAACAAAAGACACACCCGTATTGGTTGTTGGACCCGCTTCTGAGACGTAATATTGGGGTGTTGGCCGTCATGTACCTGCCAAATCACCAAATCATTACCCCCGTCAGCTTCACCGGTGCACCTCATCCAGGCGTCTTGTCGTCCAGGGTGCTCTTCTTCTCGTTGAGGGTTTCCCTTTTACAATGCCACAAAAACAAACTCCACGCAACACCTAGGCATGGCAAAACTGCCTGCTCCCCCTTGTGGGAAACTTGGGTCTCTAAGCAGTAGTAGTTCTGTGGGTACCTCAGAAATACGTCTTCTTCCTTTTTGAGGGTACCCTTTTCAGGATTGGTATCTGCGCTGCCCTCAGATCCCCTGCCACATCTTTGACTTGTGGGTTGAATTCGGAGACCACCTTTCACCAACCGAAAACGAATAAAGACCTTTCTGGAACCGGATGGCTTGAAGATTGAAGTTCTCCAAGCGACACCCGCCGGAAATCCCATCCCCCCACCCACCCCCCCACAACCCCCACCCCCAGAAAAGCTCGCTCCGGAAAGCTGGGGCCGCGTACCCCGGGCCCGGCGGCCCGGGTGGGGCTCCCGGGGGCGCCTGGCACACGAGTCTGAGCAGACTTACATATATATATATATATATATATGTAGGAAAGCACACGTGGGCTGGTCTCAAAAATAGGGGACTCTGAAAATTGGTGGTTCTCCTTTTGTGCATTGTGAGTATGTCTTCTTTAAGGGGGCCCACCCAAAACAAAATGATTTCATATGGTTTCGTTTTGGTGTCGCTTTGAATCCGCCAAACATGGGGTACCCCCCCCCAAAAAAAAATGCACCAGGCAAGACTAGATTCCCTCAGTCACGCAGGCAAGGGGGGTCGTTGCTTTCATACCCGTTGCTTCCCGAAGACTGGTTCGGGAAACTCTCTGGTGCTCACATTGAAGGCACAAAGTTTGATTCAGGAGCCATTGGACATGCTTTAGATGGGGACTCAGACTGACTTCAAACTGAAAAAGTGCTTTGCAACCTGGGTAATATGTTCTAGGTGGGTTGCAACCTCGGTAATATATGGTAATATATTATAAGCAGAATCCAACCTTGGTTTCTCCGAATGAATCTATATGTCTGCTGTATTTTTCGCTGGGACAAGCCGTTTCAATGTTTGGACAGCTTCTCCGAAGATGGTTCAGTCCGGTTCAGGTGTATCTAGGCCTCACTCCACCAAGTGGCATCCCAATACAGTGCTGGGCTTTTGGGCCCCAGACGGGCCATGGACACTTAGGGATCATGTTGCTCGCCAAACCCCAGAAAGTCAATACCCTCTCAAATCAGGTGCTGGCAACATAGACTCCAGGAGTCCACATACCAAAGGGGGGGTCCAGTTGAATGTGGGTCCAACTATGATTTCAAGCCTACCCTTGTGCCATGTAAGCATAGTTTTCTTTGGGCCAGGTGATGTTTTACAGAGAAATGCATCTCTCACTTGCTTTCTCAAACTAAACCCGTCATTTTACGAACCAAAAATCCGAGCCATTGGATCCAGTGAGTACCTATGTCGCCTATGTCCCTCTCAAATGGGCCTGGAGAAAGGAAAAAAGTCTCGACCCAACCTCCGATGGGTGTTGCTCAGAAGAGTGATGCCCTCCCCCCCAAAAGAAAAGTTGGCTTCCTCTTACGTTCCATAACGAGGGTAAGTCATTGTTGGTTTCCTCTTACATTTCATTCACCTAATAACCAGGAAAAAAAAGAAGACAAAAACTACTGACTGAGGAAAACCCCAAGACCCCCTCTGTGTCCTTCCCCCCCCCCCCGGCCCCAGCCCCGCGCCTGCGGCATGTCCGGCGGCACGGGGCCACCGGGCGCCGGCGGAGCGGCAGGCGCCGCCCCGGGCCTGTCGAAACGCGCACGAGCCGGGCTCCCCGTTGAGACGGCGGCTTGTTCGCTGGGCACAAGGAGAGGGAAAAACCCAGCGGGACATCACGTGGCTTGTTTTTTGCGTCCACCTTTGCGCTGGGTTCCCTGCAACGAAACGCTGGGTATTGGTTTGGGAAACGCTGGGTATTTGACAGGGAACCCAAAAGGGAGAACCGAGCCATTTGAGGGGACCGAAAGTCTGATTTGGAGCCATGGTTTGTGAGGAATCCATGGCTATGGTTCTCCTTGATCTCCCAACTGAACTTGGTTGCTGCAACGTCCCCTCTGTAAATAGTTTGGAAACTTTTTGTGGGTCAGATGGAAAATCCGACCTGTTTTAACCAAAAAGTTAGAGTCCACCGAAGCAGCGCTGCGAGGCGCCTAGGAAGTCAACCACCTACCCGCCTGGACCTAGGTTTAGGGTCCATTCAAGTGGCAGAGGGTGCTGGGCGCAGGTTCTCTTCCCAGCTCATGGGCCCATCATTCTTTCCGAAGGAACTCGCGGCTATGGGCTTTTGGATCTCTTGTTCTTCGACCTCGGACTACACCAGGGGACACCTCAAAGTTGAGGTCCCTTTTGCTTCCCGATGGACAGGGATTCAATCAATGACTCAACGAGGCCAAATCGACTTGAGCATTTCTTTGAATGTTCAAACCACCGCCTTTGTTCGGGAAGAGCTTCAGGCACTCCCCCCTATGTAGGTACTTTCATAAGCCTATTGTAAGGCTCTTACCAGGTACTCAGAAAGCTGGGGAGAAGTGGGGGGGGACCCAGTACCTCAGAAAAGAAAGGTTGCCAAAACCTGTCTGCTTGGAGGGTTCCTACAGGGTTCCTTAGGAACCATGAGTGTTTGTCCCCAAAATGTGTAATTTGAGGGTTGATGACCTCCCTATCAACCAGCAGCAAGGGATTCTCTGACTGCAAGGGGTTTTCCGGGCCATTCCGCGCCTCAGCGTCCGTCTCTTGCGCTTGGGCTCCGGGTGTCTTGGTGCTGGCACTGGCGCAGACTGCAAGGCCAAGTATGCCTGCAGCGAGGAACAGATATATGACACAAGGACAACACGCCTTGTCCTCAAAAGGGCATTGAAAAATTGGGTGCCCTCCTGGTTTTTTGGAAATTGACCAAGCCGACGTGTCAGTTGCACAAGAGCCCCCTAACGAATAATTGACTGATTGTTGCTGAATGATAACACGACAGGGGTTTGAGATCCCCGTACATGTGTCTCGCGCGCAAGAACTGCTCTCAGGATCCGGAGATATACCACGCATAAGGTCATGTATGTGCAGAAATGATGTTTATTCTCAACCCACCGCTTGGTTCACCACGCCCCATATCAGCCACAAGCAAACCAGCGTGACGCACCGCGTTTACGTTGCGACCACCTTGCCCGGCTAGTTCGCACCTATGCGTTGTCACATTAGCTGCTACTTGTCTGAGCTAGTTGTGAGCTCAAGCCGTCTGTTTGAAAAGTATCCACAATCGCATGGCACACCGCAATTCACCAACATGCGCTGCAACGTTGCGAAGTTCTTTTGGTACTAGTGTATGTATAAATCACAATCTTCCAAAAACAAATGGCTTGGCTCACCCCACAACAGCCGAATTTCATTCCACACGCAAACCAGCATGGCACACTGCTCAAGAAAAATCGCTGCCAGGCAGAAAAGCTGCGCTGCGAGACCATTGTTCCAGCGCGCTGGGCGCCGATTGGTTCCAAACGTATGAATAAAAAGCTGCAGGTTCACAATGGCACGCGGCATTGCACCTGCCCCAAGCCAAGTTCGGCTGCGTTTATCTGATGAATGGCTTGTGAATCAGAGCAATCTTCAGCAGTGCCATGTTCACCGCCGTGTCTGCCTGGCACACGCCCTTTCAACCAATTTGGCCATCCGGCGTCGCCACAAATCTCTGAGACCGATTTTCAACCCAGGCTGCCAGGAAGGCTTCTCAGCCTTTCCCGCTCTTGAATGGCCTTGTTCTGAACACGGAGCCGCAATGGGGCACTGACAGGCTTCTCTCCTCGCTTCATCCAAGAAAAAACCGAATGACTTCGCAAGTCTGCGGTCATTCTTTCGGCCTGTGGAGTAGCAACCACTTTTCGGCGGCGGGAGGCTCTGGGGCCCGCGTTTTTGGCGGTGTTGCCATGACTCCTCAAAATGAGCAGAGCGAGCTTGGCCAGAATGCTGCTGGCCAAGCAAGAGCGCACCACACGCCACCATCGCCGAACTTAGGCGCCACTGAAAAGTTGATTCAGACGCCTTCGGAGGCCGCGGAGTCTCTCTCAGATCACTAGCCTGTTCGACACCCTGGACGCTAAAACGCAATCCGTGGTTCGCTTGATCCTTGTCTGGGTTGGTAATCTTCTGAAGGCTGCAAACTTTGGGTCAAAACCGTATGTTGGAGCATGGAGAACCCGCGCAACCTGCAACCCGCAATCGGCATAATCTGATCCGCAAACCGCACAATCCGGAATTCTTGAAGAAGCTCGGGGCTCTTACCCCCACCACTTCCCAGTTTGCTCTATGTGTTGTCTATGATGTATGTGTGTGCGCGGTTGGCGAGGCATGCGCATTCACACGTGTGCCCGGATGCTTTGACATGTGTGCCCGGATGCTTTGAGGGTGTTAGCAGAGGGGCGCTGTTGAGTTTTAAGATCCCGTCACAAAACGCAACAGCGCAGTGCCTCTGCCCAAGACGTTGGGAAGGCTAAGTCAACTAACGTGCACGTTGGGCTCCTTGTTTTGCACCGCTTTTCCATTAGGATTTCGTGACAGGCCGAGATGTCGCCAACAGCGACACGTACAGAGACGCGCAAACACGCGCACACTTCCGCGCGCACTTGCACACACACACACACACACACACACACACACACACACACACACACACACATACACTTCAGCATGCAAGCACGAGCACACGCACCCCGCCTGCGCACACATGCGCGCACAAGCCCGCTGCCCACGCACGCACACGCGCTCTCTCTCTCTCTCTCTCTCTGTGTCTCTCTGTCTCTCGCTCTCGCTCTCTCTCTCTCACACACACATTCCACACCAGGCCCTGGCTTTGCGTGGGGTTGGGGGGCAGCAAGATCAAATCCTACTGGCACGCAGCTGCACAACAAGGGACCCAGCTCCCACGTGCTAGTTGGCTTAGCCTTCTCAATCTCTTGGCCACAGGCAGTGCCACCATTGCGTTTGTTGACGGGAATGGCTCTTGAAATTGAACAGCACCCCTTTGCCAAACACTCCTCAAAACATCCGATTGCCCACGGCACACTAGATTCTGGTGGGGTAGCACTTGCGTCGCCAGCAACATCTAAGCGAAACGAGCGTCCATATGCGATTTATTTCCTGCTTTCATGCCATACATCTATAAATGAAAGCATGATCATGACCCTGAACAGCTTTCCCCACCGGCACACCGCTTGCAGCACGAGATGACTTGTAAACACAAAGACCCAGTGTTTATGTTTTATATATATATATAGAGTTGAATATGTGTATATGTATATATACACCATGAATCCATACCATCAGCCTAAGAAGGGCTAGCGATCAGGATGGCACCCCCCTTGGACAACGGCACACAAGGCCAGTTCTCCTGTTCTGCCTGACATAAACGTGGGTTCGCTCCCGCCCGTCTCAACACTTTGGGTCAATTGCAACCACCCTTCGTATGGCATGAAGTTTTGCGGGTTTGGTGCTGCAAGCACAGCACAAGTGTCGCCCGGAAGGCAATCTGGGTGAATGAGAAATGGGCGTTGAGGCAAAAACCAACAGGAAAGCTACCGTCTCGAGGATTGATTTTTTGTTGCAACGGAAGCCGACAGCTGAACGCTCAGAGTGGCCTTCACGTAGGGAATGGCAAAGATCTCGTTGATTGAAGGTCGATGCCTTGCATCTCTCCAAGAAACACACGCCGTGCCCAATGTTTTCTTGGAACGTCACCTTCAAGTTGGCCCCAAAATTGTCCAACCCGCCGCAAAAGACGAGTCGGCGCGTCTAAGCCATCCCCACAATGGTGAGCCAACCAAAGGGAGGGTCTCATCGCTGGGCCCGATGCTCGGCATCCTTCTTCAACAGCTGGTTGATCAAGTCGTTGAGATCGGGCCTCGCGACTCACAACTCGCTCCCAGCTGAGATTGTCAAGATGTCACACCGAGGCTGGGACGAGTAGATGTCAGGGATCGGGTCCTCATCCGATCAAGCGCCGCATGTGGCAAGTCAAATGGGCAGTCGCCCGCTTCATCCATTTGGTGCCAAAGCGAATATGGCTTTAGATTTAAAGCCTGGCATACATGATGAGGGAGTCGAACCCCAGGAAAAATTAGTTGCCGGCCAGGGGGTGTTCGCTGCTCATGGGGAAGTCTTCGCTGCTCATCGAACCCCAGGTCTCGGGTCAAAGGCGTATTGATCGCTGACAATCTTGTACACCAAGCCCATCCTCAGTTCAGGCCGCCCCGAAGCCTTCCAATGGCTTCGTTGCAGCTCACTAAAAATGAACAGAACCAAACAACTTCAAGAACCTCTAAACAAAAAATGCAAAAATGCCAACAACAGCAAAGAACCCTTAAACTGGTATGTGTAGACCCCAAAGCGACTGGCCAGAGGGAAGGAATCCCGAATAAGCCTGTCCAAGTGAGAAAGTTTACCCCTACCAACCCCCAAGGCTCACCCTAGCTCATAGCACGCACTGAGCTGGTGGCAAGGACGAGGACTCGAAGGCGTGCTTGAGCATACAACACCTCGCTAGGAAATTTGTCAGGAATGTGCTGAAAGATAAATGCCAAAACCGAAACAACTAGAATCAGTCGAACGGAAAGGCAAAATGAATCTCCGCTCACAAAAAAACCCAATTCATTCTGAGTTTTTTTGCCACATGCCTCCTGAATCCAAAACCAAGATCCTGACTCGTAGAGAACGCAGCCCAAGGCCTGCCACAGCACTTCGCGGAAGCGTGACTCGTGACAAAAAAACTGCTCGTTTCCCCACGCAGGGACACTTTGACTTGACATGGGGGACCAATTCCAATTTGAGCACCAACCCTCCCCCATTCCCATTTTTGACCAAACCTCGCATTGCCAAAACCGTGCTTGAGGCGCCCCGCCCAAATGTCGGATTTCCAGTTGTAGGGCTCGCTGCGACAAACTTCTGGAGACATGTAGTAGGGCCTACACGTCGCTTGCCGAGCCGGGAACCAATGAAAACCTGGCTCAACATACCGCAGCCTGTAGGAACAATGAGGAATTGCTCCTCTCGGTTTTTTTTAAGGGAAGCCCCCATGATCTTTTTGGGGAACCTAGTTACTTTGCTTAGCCCCCATATTCGGATGCCAGCATCATTCACCCGTTGCTGCTGCGGCACAGGGCTCCTAGTTGTTTAAAAAAAAAAAAAAAGTAAATATATATATATATATATATATATATATATTCAGATGCCAGCATCATTCACCCGTTGTTGCTGCACAGGGCTCCCAATTGTTAAAAATAAAGCCCCCCTATTCAGATGCCAGCATCATTCACCCGTTGTTGCTGCACAGGGCTCCCAATTGTTTAAAAAAAAATGCCCCCCTATTCAGATGCCAGCATCATTCACCCGTTGTTGCTGCACAGGGCTCCCAATTGTTTACCAAAAAAAACTATTATTGTTATTGCCTTTTGTTATTATTATTGTAAAAACAATAATTTGAAAAAAAAAAAGAATAATACTAATAAATGTAAGCATCACCCCACGGAGAAACTCACCTAAAAGTGACCCGAAAAAGGTGGTGTTTCGATGGGATGCCAAAGGCATCGGCACTGGGGCGACCACGTGCCCACGATTGTGACTGCCGCCTGCACACATCCGCAGCTTTTAAGTGGCCTCATCTTCTTCAATGGCAACAGGAAGGCCCCGAAATAGAGTTGACATCCAACACATTGCTTCAAATGGCCAACCGGTCCCAATCTCTTGCAATGTCTGGAGCGACACCAAGTTTCACAAGGTGAGGCTGGATCTTTCCGAGTTGCCCTGTTCGGTCAAAACCAAAGGCCCCCTGAGCTCCCTGAGCTCCCTAGTTCCGCCATTGAAAGCAATCCACCTCTCTTCTGCGTGTGTCGGTCGGGACATGTCTTCTTTGCCACTCCAAATGAACTTCCCATAGGTCCGGACAGCGGCAAGTGAGAACCACTCGAAAACAGGGTTGGCCCAACCCCTTGTTCCAACCGGTTTTTGTTTTCCTTATTTTTGCCACTCTTCTCGAAACAACCTCCTTTCAGATGTTTTTCAAAGAAAACCAGGGTCTGGTTGCTGAGCCATGTTGTGCCCACTGCCCCGTTTGGGCCCAAGAATCCGCACAAACGGCCCCCAACAGCCAACAGGCGGCCCACGCCACAGCGGCCCCATTCGCCTCCGTGGTCCCCTCGAGCACTCGCGAAATGCCGAAGTCGCCCAGCTTGATGGAACCATCTGCCAGATGCCCAGAAAGGCGTTTGTCTCAAACGGGGGAACCCACCGAATGAATGGCAACGGCAAGACCTGGCGGTTTCCTGGTGTTTTCCTTTTGGCCCCACCTCAAAACCCACCAAAAACGGAGTACCAACTGCAGGGAAAGCCGGCACCCATCAGGAAACCCTACCCAAAACGAACCCCCTGGAACCGAATCTCCGGAACCCTCTCTGAAAGCTGCCCCAACCACCAACCCCATCGCCGATTTCTGGGCCTGTCCACCCCCCAAAACGGGGGAGAAAACAACTTCAAGCTCCTGCAGACGTCTCTTTGCCCCAAGGGTATGGGCTTGCAAAAACATTTTGCAGCCCCACAAGAGAACGAGAAAAAAAAACAAAATGATCCGAGAGCCGTAAACACCTAGGAGTCGCCGCCTTTCTGGCCCACGGCCAGGGTTCCCGCCTTCGGAGAGAAAGATGTTGGAGGTCTTCAGGTCCCGGTGCAAGACCTTCTCCGAGTGGATGTACCTCAGGGATCCTCTCCGAGTGCTGTGGATGGACGAAATCCGGCACCACTTTGAAACCATGGGAAACCATTGTTTGTCGGTGTCTACAGGGGAATCATCACTCCAGGGTTTCTTAGATGGTGCAGTTCTCAGGGATCCTTACATGAAAAACACCTGAACCTTGCAACTTGTAAATGATGGTTTCCATTTCTTGATCTTGGTGTTGAAAAAGCAGCATGTTTCAAATGGGCCGGCAAAAGGAGCTCTTTTAAGGAGCCCTCCTCAAAACAGCGCGATTTGTGTGTTTGTTGGGTTTTTTTTCCCCAGGAGATGGGCGGCTGTTGTCTTTTTCTTGAGGGCTCGGTTCCTCATTGTGTCCACGGAGGGCACCATGTCTCGTCTTCCCCGATCGAACCATGAACATGGAAACCCGTGGATGTGTCTTTTGGATGAGGTGGTATTCCGATTTGTGTGGTTCCAAAGGGAAACCAAGAGGAAACCAAGAGCTGCCCTTTTTGTTTAAAGGGGACACCCAAAATCATGACACACCAACGGAAAAGTAGGGCCCGTTTTCTGGAAATTGAGGGAGTCCCCGGGTCAACAAAGACTTCAAGCCGAGAGAAATGGTCAATCTTGGATGCTCTGGAGATTCAGAGGGTACCAAAAAAGGGCGAGCAGGTGGATTTGTTGGCAAAAAGCGCGAATCTGTGCCATTGGAGACTTGGTCCATCACTAGGAAGGCCACATAGGTCATGATTTCCCTATATTGTAGGCAGGAAAATCGGGGCTTCGGCCAACCCGTAAGTTGAAAGCCCAAAGTCTGGTGCTGTGACCCATACCAATTTTTCCCCCCACAGAAACAAACAAACCTGTACATGGACAAAACTCCACTCTGCAACCATCCCTGACCGCAAGGCAAAGGGTGATTTGATTTGGCACACTGAGCCGACTCCAAAACCATAGCCCATCGTCTCCCCACGGAGTTAGCTGTCCCAGCAATCCCTGGTTTTGACACGTACACTGTCTAGTGGTAGTTTGGTGAATGCGTCAACCATGCCATTCCGACTGCCCAAATGTGCTTGAAACCCAAACTGCCTGTCCTTCAAATCCTCTTTGAACCTGCTGCAAAGGGGGTATCCCCAAAAAGGACACCCAAATCCAGGGTTCCATTTTGGATGGTAACCCAACACTCAAACCACCGGCATGGCGTGTGGCAAATTCCCCGTTCCCCTGGCTTCGTTGAATTTCTTTGGCATCCCAGAAGAGTACCCTCAAGAAAACCAAGTGGACCCCAGTCGAAACTATCGGCAATCAGCCATTCTACTTTTTGGTTTGAGGGCGGTTCCCTTGGATACGCTGAGAAAGACACGCTCCAATCCCCGCCGTGAGTCCAGCCTCACCCCCCGACACGATGACCGAGTTCTGGACACTGGCAATTTGCAACCAAACAAAAGTGGGTGAACCTCTCTGTGGATGTTCGGAGATCTGGGTTCGGAGGGCTTCCATTCTCAGAAACCGTCCCCAGCTGGGTTTCCTGTATTCGGGGATCCCCTTCTGGTTCATTGCCAACACCCGCACCAACTAAGGGTCACCTGACACTTTTTGCACCAAAACTAGTCCCCTGCCGAACTCTGCCAGCGAGATGTTGCGATGCCTTTGGCGCACTGCAAGGCCTGACAGAGCTGGACGAACCAGGTCATGATCTGCCTCAGGTCGTTGGAGGATTTGAAGCCCTGGCTTTTGTAGTCTGGGACACCCTTCCTTAACCACCAAACCTGTCTTTTTGAAGGTTGGACCCACAGAATTGTGAAGTTCCTTGTGTTTTTGTTCTTTAAACCCTTGGACCCTCTGGCTGTTTCCAAAAATACGTTCTGCGCGAAACACACACACACACAAAAAAAAATGCTTTCTTGGTGCATCGGGGGACGGGGACGGGGGGGTTGCAGTTGCTTGCCCGCATGTCCGTGGGAACTGATCAAGATTCACTTAAAGGAAACCATAGGGGATGGCTGGCGGTCATTCCCTCATTCCCTGAGAACCAGCAAGGAAAGGATGCTGAGCAACTTTATTCGAGATCGAAACTTGGCCGCCGGCTCCTCGGAGAAATAACCCCCTTGCTTTGCCTTCTCCTGGCAATCACAAAAATCTGACAGAAAGCCCATAAGATGTGGCTGGGTCAGTGACCTGCTCAAGAAACAAAACTCTGAATGGGTAGACTTAAGGGGCAAAAGACCAGAACCCGATGTTCAGATCCCCTCAACATGTAAATGTAAGGGACCTATGTTCGGTCCTTGATTGCCTTCCGCACGTCGCCGCCGCTACAATACCTCGGCTCAAAATCACTCCAGTGACCCACGGTTGAAGTCTACCAAACCTTCAGGTCCCAAGTCTGCCAGCGCCGAAAAAGAATCAACCATACGCACACAATAGCTGCAACCAGGTGGCGAGGTTTTTGGGGGGTCCCAATTTTGGGAGAAAAGGTTAGGGGTCCCATTTTTGGGGGGCTCCCATGTTTAGGGGTCCCATTTCTTGGGAAGCACGGGTGAGCCATGGTTTCACCCCGTTGTTTTTTCCCCCCGTACAAGGCCCACCCGTGCGCGGGCGACTCGGGATCCCGGGGCCCTCCGGGGCCCGGACTCCATGACGATCACCAGAGTGTTTGCCTCGGAGTGGCACCGTCACCCTTGGACTCGGGGTACAAGGACAAAGTGGTGTACACACAGAACCCATTGAGCTGGGTTCTAGCATGGCAAGATGGCTTTGTGTGTGGGGGGTGTCCATTTTTTGAAGTTGGTAGCCCCGAAGGGAACATAAAAGGAAGCCGTTGCCATGTTGGGGGGTCCGATTCCCAAAGAAAGACGAGCCATACATCTGACCTCTACAACAAGTAGAACCATCTACCTCATGGCAGGCGACCTTGGACGATCGAACTGGCGGCAAGTGTAAACCAGGAGCTTCGAGATAAAGCTGCCATTCCAAAAATCCATCTGAACCCCCAACAAAAAAATGAACATATCCACCATGCTGGGGGCAAACAAATGTAGAGAGGGTTCCGTGCTTGAGGTCTCCCCCACCCCCCCACCCCGAAACCCGGTCTAGCAACATCCAGGTGTCTTGGAACTCCAAAAGGCTTTTTCCATGGCGTTGCTCTGAAGCAAACGCCTCTGAAGATCCACAACCCTTGGCACTGTCGGAAGAAAACTTGCAAGCTCACTTCCAATCGAGATGGATTGGCCAGAAAATGTCCAAACTGCGTTACCGCTAAAATGCTCCAAACCCAAAAAGCGACTCAAGTGCATGACCTCGCGTTTCCACCAAAATCGCTCAAGTGACTAAAGCCCGTGAACTCAGGCACAGAGAGAGCCGAGGCCCCCGTCTCCCTCGATGAGGAAGCTGTCCCGATAGGCCACGATGTAGGGGTGGCCCAGGGTCTGCAGCAGGAAGACCTGGATCCCAAGATCCCAAGCTCCAACGGCCAACAGGATCCGCGCAGCAAAACCCGCAGCTCTTCTTATCCGCGCAACAAAAAAACCCGCAGGTCGGCGAAGGAAAAGAGAAAAAAAAAAAAAACATAAACATGATCCAAGAACCGCAAAGCGGGAGTCGATGCCTTTTTGGCCCACGGCCAGGGTTCCCGCCAAGAGAACTAATCTCAAAAAAACAAAAACGGATCCACCGGATCTGGGTTGTTTTTTGCCTTTCAGGTGATCGACTTGGTTCGTCAGGACTCCAGGAGATCCGAATGATCGCCTTCGATTTCGCCGTCTGGACTGTGATCCCTTCTTCACACTCCGTAGAACCTTCTAAAGAATGGCCTATGTGGGGGTTTCGGGGGGCGCCAATTCCTGGGCTCAGGGTCCATTCAAGTACCCTCTAAATGGAAAGGGGCCCGGTGGCTCCCACCCCAAGTGCCATCTTTAGGATTCCTCAAAATGGCTGTGGCTCAAAAAACCGGCACCAGAATGGGTTACCCTGGTAAGTGGAAAAATGGACCAAAACCTGCGTAACCCTAGCTCTTTAGTTTTGAGCCACTGCCAAATGTAACCACGTTAAAGGACCCAGAACAAGAGGGATCTGCAAAAATGTGCCAATGGCAAACAGAAATGCCACCAAACCCAACTGAATGCGCTGTCAGCACTCACAGAAAGCTAGCTATCGCTTGAAGCGTTGAACCGGACGGACGTGTTCATGACAAACCGTGGCAACTTCCCCCTTTCGGGGTTGGATCAAAGAGCAAAGCGCAAACCGCCAACCATTCATTGGATCCGCTCGCAATGTACACCTAGCGGCACCCAACCCACATGAGTCGCAATCAAAAAAACGGTATTAAAATGGTCGTAATCCCAGAACCATGTAAAGAATTACCAAGGCGGATATCCGCAGCTGTTTCTGGCTGGGATTGTCCCACCTTCTACCCGCATCGGTTTTGAGCACGTGGCTCACATTGACGAAACTCGAATCCACTGCGCATCGGCCCGCCTCTTGATGCGCCAAGTCCTGTTGGCCCCGGTCAACATGGGAAGATGCGGGGCTCGTCTGGCTTTTGGTGTCGAAAAGTCCGGTGAGTGCCAAGCAACTTGGACCCACTGCCACAAATTTTGACCTGTGGCACAAGTCAGCACCCAGTTGCCTTAGGGGAAATGTTGGCCTCAAATTGGACCGACTGCCACAAGTGTTCACCTTGTAGGATGGCAAAAAAAGAGTCAGCACCCAGCTGCCTTTCGATGAGGAAAAAAAAACCACCGGCAAAGTGAGAACCCACCGGAACTCTGAAGCGACGTCGTGTGCTGCTAGGGAAAACTCAACCTTCACAAATCGGACTGCAAAAAAAAACGGACTGAGCACAGAACCCAGACTGCCGAAACATGAGCCCAGCGCATGTGTCCCCTATGCCAGGAAGTCAGACCAAGGGATCACTGGATTTCTTGCGTTGATCAGTTCACCTGGTGAGTTCCTCTGATTCACTGCTGTGCGTGTGCATTTTAACGGATCCTTTGGTGGACGTGAAATGTAGGAATTCATATCCACCAACCACTTTTGAGATGGTTCCCTACATTCAATTTGTTTAGATTGAGGGACCCTCCAAAACGGAGGTCACCGGATTTCCCCTTCAAGCATTGCCACCTTTGGAGGCTCCGAAAAGAGAAATGGCAACACTGGGCAACTCGTCAGGCTAGCGACCCGGCGGGTGGTTTGGATTGTTTTGGTGGGTTGAACCCTTCTAGCCGGGAACACGTGAAAAAACATGCTCGGTGCCCTCCATCAAAAGATCCTGGTCATGCTCGTTCAAGGCGGCCAAAGAGATGCACTTGGCCACGAAGGTTTGTCCGGTGGCCTAGGCATGACCAACCTGATGGGATACCCAGACCTGTGCCTTGTGGCCCGAGATTCAACACGGGCCCCAACCGAGCCAAGCAAAGAAATGCGGGTCTCCGCTGCATGTTGCCTTTTGGTTGCGCCCGAAAAACACACATTGGTTTTATTCAAAAACAAAAAGCTTCCCCCATCCCAAATGTGTGTGGGTGTGAACCATTCTTCGAGCAGCCACAACAGGGCGCACTCATACGCCAAGTGACACACGCGGCTACCCGGGTGCACCAAATTTGAGATCGATCCCACCCGCTGGGGGTTTTACCGAGTCACAAAACGAAACAAGGGTGTCGTCATTTTTCGGGGGCCGCAAAATGGTGGTTCTCCTCTTGGCTTTCCTTCAAAACCATCCAAGGAGCCCCTCCCTTCCATTGGGTCCAGTCCCTGAGTCAGCGGCTGTCTCCCTGACCAGCTGCGCGCTCGCATATTGGCCACGGCCTGAAAATCCAAGCGGAACACAAGTACCCACCAACGTCTTTTTACTCGCAGAAATGGGCGGAAACCCCCCTTTTGCCCCGTTCATTTGGGTAGATTGCACCCCTTCAACCAACAAACATGGAAGTGCAAAGACTTTTGGATAGCTTTCGTTATTGTCGTTATAAAAATCGTTTGCGAACATCCCTGTGATTTTGGCAGAAGCGTAGTGTGTTGTTTCAACATCTACATCCAAACCCAAAAAGGGTCCTGATCAGAAAGCAGACTCCCCTTCGTGTGCTTGTCAAGAGAGCGTGCACTCCATCGCGCGCGGCCAATGTGTTGAATGCGCTCCAGCCCGAACCTCGGATCGGCAAGACTCGATCCAAGACTCGCCAAGACTTTGTCTGACCCAAAAAAACAAAGGCAGCCGGCATTTGAAGCAGTCGCCAAGACTCGCCAAGACTGTGTCTGACCCCTCCAAAAACACGGCATGAGGCAGTGACCCAAAAACAAAACCGCCGGCAGTGAGGTAAGCTGCTGGCCCCGAAAGGTCGACCTCCGTGGTGGGTTTGGACATCTCAAAGTCCGCTTCCTGAAGATCCGCACGCCCCGCGGAACTCTCTCGAGGTCGCACAAAAACTCTCGCGATCGCTCGAACAGTCGGCGTGGCCGCCGGGGCCCCGGCTTTTCATGCCCTGGCCACAGTGCATCCGTATCATCAGGCGCCAAAGCAAGCTATCGCAATATCTGATCCAAAACCCAGCGGGCCACAATCTCAAGCCATAGCTGGCATGGCACACCACAAGCTAACCTACAATTCCAAACAAGTCAAGATTCAGTTTGGCATTGCTTGTTTCTGATGTTTTTGTTGCTTGCGAGAGGGCTAAAAATCTGAACATTGCAGCATGTATTCCGCACTTGAAGGAGGCCCCGAGGCTGGAAAGAGAGAGACTGCGGATGGCAACATGGAGTAGTTTAGGGTGGCTTAGGACTGTTTCAGGGTGCGTTTGGGTCGGTTATACGTGGGCTTGGGCTGCGCGTAAGGTTGACACAAGCCATAAGCATGCCGCCAAAAGCGGTAAAACATAAACCACCTTTTCTCAGACCCGAAAGCTGGACTTCCTGAATTCAAAAATCTGGTTTGGCAACTTCTCCTGGGTGTATGTTGCTCTCTGCCACGTCTTAGCAAGTATCCAGCGAGCATCAGCCTCCTGCGTGATGTTGGATCTTTTATGATCTTTTGTCAAAAAAAACAGTAGTTTGCTCCGAAGGTATGTATATTGCGTGTTCCTACCGCAATGTCGTAGCACGCCTGGGCACGTGCAGAGAGACCGCCTCGCACGCTAAATGCCTGGTGCTGCGTCTAGCCTTAACTTCCATGAACCCCAACAAAGTTGAACGACAGAGGTGCACGCCCTTTTTCGGGTTGCTTGGAAGGACGCACCTGGCCCCCAAGCCCTTGTGGCCTTTCATCTTCCCTTTGCCTGTCGAACTGGAAGATGGTTCCGCAGTGCGTTTGTCCTTTCGGTTGACGAAGGCCTCAGCAGCTTGGATGATTCATCATCTCGATTGCTCATGTTCACAGCAAACGTGTAAGGCATATTCACACCCCGCCTTGGATTTCTACTTTCAGTAGCAATCCACACAAACAAAAACGACTGCTCCTGGTTTGCCACCTCAAGTGCTCTGCTGGAACTATTGAGTGACTCATGCAACTATCTCGAATTATCATCTCTGACCGCAAATCCAGTGAAAACCGGTCCACTCTTTTCACACCGTTTCACTCCACTTCTTCATATGAGTTAGAATCCTGTTCACTGCTTCAAGCCAAGAGGGAACAAGCAATACAAAACACAAGCCCGACCGACCCAATCCTCGCATGTGTCCTGGCAAAAAAACCAAACTCAGCAGAATATGCACGCTAACACAATGTGCGGATTGGACGCAATTCCTATCAAGGCTTGCGAGTCTTGTACATCAAGGTTTTTCACCTGAGCTCTGATAGGGCGGGTGGGTGGGCTCAAACAAGAAAGAGAAATCGAACCCTCTAACCCCGTCCCTCAAAATGGCTTGAAGCATAAACGGCAACGCGGCTAAAGATTCGAACAGGATTAAACACGGGGGAAATAAAAACCCCAAGCGTTAGAATCCTGTTCACTGCTTCAAGCCAAGAGGGAACAAGCAATAAAAAACACAAGCCCGACCAACCCAATCGTTCCGCTCCTTTTTTATTCGGCGTTGTTCCCGAAAGCATCGCGAAGGGTTCTTCCGTGCGGAGCCCTTGGACAAGTTACAGAGAGCCAAGTTACATAGAGCCAAGTTACATACAGCCAAGTTACATAGAGCCAAGTTACATAGAGCCAAGTTACATAGAGCCAAGTTACATAGAGCCAAGTTACATAGAGCCAAGTTACATAGAGCCAAGTTACATAGAGCCAAGTTACATAGAGCCAAGTTACATAGAGCCAAGTTACATAGAGCCAAGTTACATAGAGCCAAGTTACATAGAGCCAAGTTACATAGAGCCAAGTTACATAGAGCCAAGTTACATAGAGCCAAGTTACATAGAGCCAAGTTACATAGAGCCAAGTTACATAGAGCCAAGTTACATAGAGCCAAGTTACATAGAGCCAAGTTACATAGAGCCAAGTTACATAGAGCCAAGTTACATAGAGCCAAGTTACATAGAGCCAAGTTACATAGAGCCAAGTTACATAGAGCCAAGTTACATAGAGCCAAGTTACATAGAGCCAAGTTACATAGAGCCAAGGTTAGGTAGGGCTTAGAGCTTCGGCGTTAGCAGCTATATAAGTTAGTTTAGGTTTCTAAGGCGCCGGGGCGGGAGTTTGATCGTCGCTCGGGGTTGCGACCCTCTGCGGAGATTCGTGGTCGAGGTTCAAAAACTGAGGACTTTTTACGATTTCTGCGGCGCCGTCCGCAGGGCACAAAATCGGTAGTGGAAGGGGGCGTTGGCAAGCCCGTTGCGCCGCACCACGTCGATGCCGACGTGCGCCTCCTTCTTGCACGCTTGCGCTTCGAACACCAGCGGCGGCAGCTTTGGGCTGCCCGGCGCCACGCGGCTCTCCAGGCTGGTGGGTTGCGCGCTTTCCCGCAACGTCTTCTCGCCGTGGCAGTCGCCGTGTCAATATTGACCCATTGTTGACCTTCCGTCGATTCAAGATGACTCAATATTGCCTCAATATGTTGCTTCAATATTGCCTCAATATTGCCTCAACAATGGCCTGGCATCGAGGCCTCGACGCCAGGCTGCCGAGCCGCCAACCAAGGTCGGAGACTACTGAGGTCGGAGTTCCGCAGCTGGCATGCATTCCAGCGTTTTACCCAGGCCATCGAGCCCATGAAAGACCTCATCTCCTATCAGTACATCCCGGCTGAGACCAAGTTCTCTGCAAACGGAGAATTGGACCTTGCATCTCCGATATCACACAACTCCTCCACGCAGTAGATCCTCCTCAGTATCAGTCAGATGCGGAACCTCTACATGACCATCGAGCACACACCTCAATGTGACAAGATCACATGCAAGGCCCTTGGCATGAACCGTCAAGCAGAGCCAGTATCCGGCACAGGATATGCGCTTGTCAACCTTGCTGGAGTTGCAAGAGTGAAAGCGCATGGAGAAATTGCCATCAAGGCAAGGGCCTCACCAACTACGTCTACGATGATGACAACAGCATCCAGTTTCTCTCCGGGCATATCTCAAGACTAAAACTGTTGTGCGTCAAAATCATCCGAGACGAAGGAGGACCTAGCAAATCCTAAAATCGTTGGGTCTCAAGAGCAGGACCGTTGGATCCTTGACAAGAAAACAAGCAGCTCATCCGTGCGCGCGTCACGCCTTGCAAGGCGCTGTTCACACCAAATTGAGCCAAGGAATGTCCAATCAATCCTGATAACATCAGCCGAGAGCGTGCCACGAAATTCTTGGATGCGGGAATGCAGGTGAAGGGGATGGACACGCTTTGTCATCCCTCCTGCATCCCCGAGCCTGGACTTCTGAACTAGAGGACGATTGGCCCGAAAGCATTTTTCCACAGGTGCTCATCCAGCTGCGGAGACACCTTTCTACATCGCTGCGGCGAGCGTGTCTGCGCGCGGCAATGCTCAGGGTCACATGAGAGCTCCATCTCATCATCCTACTTTCCTCTCGAACTGCGCCGCGCGAATTCTCACGAAAGTGGTCTGCGCAAGCTGCGTTGTTCCAGGCTGCTGCGCGCAAGTTGCTCTCTGCAAGCTGCTGCGCGCAAGTGCTCTGTGCAAGTTGCTCTGCGCAAGTGCTCTGAGCAAGTTGCTCTGCGCAAGTGCTCTGCGCCAGTTGCTCCGCGCAAGCGCTTTGCGCATGCGCTCTGCGCAAGTTGCTGTGCAAGTTGCTCTGCGCAAGTGCTTTGTGCAATTGGTGCTGCCGGAGCTGCGGGGGTGTGCTCCGCGTACTACGTTTGTACTTAAAGTTGCGATTCTCCGGCCGGAGCTGCGCTCCGCGTACTACGTTTGTACTTAAAAGTTGCGATTTTCCAGCCTGAGCTGCGGGAGCACGCTCCGCACACTACGTCTGTACTTAAAAATTGCGATTTTCCACCCGGAGCTGCAGGAGCACGCTCCGTACTACGTTTGTGCTTAAAAGTTGCGATTTTCAAGCCGAGCTGCGGGGGTGTTGCTCCGCGTACTACGTTTGTACTTAAAAGTTGCGATTTTCCAGCCTGAGCTGCGGGAGCACGCTCCGCACACTACGTCTGTACTTAAAAGTTACGATTTTCCAGCCGGAGCTGCAGGAGCACGCTCCGCATACTACGTTTGTACTTAAAGGCTGCGATTTTCAAGCCGGAGCTGCCGCGGACCAGGGGGGAATCGAACCCGCGACCGCGGGATTGCGAAAGCAGGCGCGCAAACCACGAGACAACTTCCAAAGGCCGTTTCGCGAGCAAGAATATCGCACGGCGCCACAGCGAGAGCGCTTCAACACGCACAATCTCCGCAGAGGGTTCGCCGAGACTAAGACAAATTCGCACGGCGCCACAGCGAGAGCGCTTCAACGCGCACGATCTCCGCAGAGGGTCGCGCGCGCACCGCAGAAATCGTAAAAAGTCCTCAGTTTTTGAACCTCGACCACGCGAATCTCCGCAGAGGTCGCGAGCGGCCAGCAGAAATCGTAAAAAGTTCTCAGTTTTTGAACCTCGCCCACGCAAATCTCCGCAGAAGGTCGCGCGCGGCCAGCAGAAAGTCCTCAGTTTTTGAACCTCGACCACGCGAATCTCCGCAGAAGGTCGCGTAAAAAGTCCCCAATTTTTGAACCTCGACCACGCGACTCTCCGCAGACGGTTGCGCACGCGCCACGCGAATCTCCGCAGAGGGTCGCGCGCGCGTTGAGCCAGGGCTGCTGCGACACGCGGCAGGCGCCGCTCCGCCAGTTGCCCTACGTGGGGCCCGGCTGGTGCTCGAAGGTGTCGCTGGCCGCAATGCTGGAGAAGGGCGAGGATGATCGGCCTGTGGGCCCGCAGCGTTCGCAGCAGCTGGACGGGCCGCAGGCCGACTTCCGGCAGGCCTTCCCCTGTGAGGGCGGCGTGGTGTGGGACTTCCTCTACTCGCAGCGGCTGCTCCACGAGCACTGCATGGTGGCCAGGGCCCGGCACATCCTGGACGCACCGCCCCGCTACCTGAAGCAAATCTGTTTGCTGACCCAGGGGCTGCCAAGCCACTGCTGGGGAGCAGCAGGCCGCCGTGGATGGAAGCGGAGCGGCCG